TTCTCTTTTTTTTTTTTTTTTTTTTTTCCAATTTTCTTGATTCTTTAACCTTCGCCCATCCTTTGTCCCCTATTCTGATGAATGTGTGAAAAAAATGTGAGAAGTTGCATTTTAATATATATTTGATCGTTGATTGAATTAATTTATCTTCAATGTGTAGAAATTTTCAATTTTTTTTTCAGTAAGTAAAATTTGTTGATTTTTTGTCATTATTATTTAGAGAGAACGAATTAAGATAGGAAAGAGAGAAAGAAAATATTGTTTTCTTTTTAATTCGAATGAAATTATTTTGTCAAAATTTTAATTTTTTTTTTTTTTAGATATTACGAAAATAAAGTCAGATATTAGAGTGATTTAAGATATTGTCCATAATCTTGAGATACGTGCAATGGAATAAAGAATATGAACCGTCTTAGGCCTCGATATCATATCACAAATATTAACAAAGTGTTATGACCGATAACGTAGAGATACATTTCTTTTATATTCATAATGGAAAACAGTGTGGGATGTCGCAAGAGTTTCGATTCTCAATTTCTGAATCATCGGCCCAAAAGCCTCTGCATACCTTTTCTAATTCCTGACCGACGAAATCTTTGTCAGAGAACTTCTATACGAAAGGAGACGTTAAAATTGGGGATCAGTGATACGAAACTAGGTTTATAAATACTTGTCTCATAACATGAAGTCGCGTTCATCAATTATAATCTACATGCGACGATGACTAATAGCGTTTTAATATAGTTTCATCTTTGCACTAATTTCATCATTTAATATATGTGGGAAAATTACCAAATATTGCCTAATTGTTGGAAACAAACTGGTATTTTAATTAGTTTCATCATTGTATTAATTTCTTCTTTAATTTTTCAGGCTGAAAATTATCCAATAATAATTATTACCAATAAACAGTGAAAATTTGAAATCATTAATCCACTATATAAATAACCTATAACCTAAAAATTTCTGAAATTCGATAAACACAAAGAAACGAATAAAATCTCCTAACCTAACCTAAATAATCCAAAAAAAAAAAAAAAAAAAACTATCCATCTATTCTAAAAATTCAAATGAACGCCAAAGAGACAAAGAAGAAAGCGAATAAAACGCAAAAAAATAAAAATAACCTCGAAACCGCTTACATCAAAAAGTCATTAACCTAACCTAAAAATCTGAGAGATCCAAAGGCAAACACGGGGAGGCAAAATTCGAGGAGAAAAATGGAAGCTCACAAACTCGAAACTCGAACGAAGTTTGTAATAATTCTAAATAAATTACACAGCTCCCCGGAATTCTCGATGGAGTTTTCGAACGTTCGCGTTCCCTCGATCACGGCGGAGGCCTACCAGGCGAAGCAACCAGTTCCGGGCGAATGAGACTCGAAAGAGTAGGAGCGCCTCCCACGATTATATTCTCGCCCGAAACAGCGAGGAGAGAGATCCAGCCTCGGTATATAGACGTGGAGGACGTGGCCAGTGGCGACGAGGTGAGTACAAAGGCTCGAATTTATGCCAGTCGAGAAAGAGAGGAGGCGGCAGCTGCGTTTTCGATTTTCCACCAGCTGGTGTGGCACCGCGTGTCTCACGGGCAGGGCCGTAGACCTTCGTTCGTCCACTCGACTAGTCCTTAAAAGGCCGGAACGTTACAAAAGGCGATCCCTAGGGCGGTGGCGTTGCAGGTCGGGACCTTGTTCCTTCTTTTCTATTCCTCTCTCTCCAACCTACTCCTCTTTCTAACCTATTTCGCTCTTCCTGGTCGAAAGAGAGAGGAGGGAGGGAGAGAGAGGGAGAGAGAGAGAGAGCGCCTCTTCGATTCCTTCAGGAGTCCTCCAGGAATCGGCCCATTCGATGAAGAACTCCAAGGAGCTTGAGCTGCTCTCTATCGATCCAGGCCGCTTCGTATCACGAAACTGGCTGGCACCCCGGAGAGACCGACTGAGGGAGACGGGGATAGAGGAATAG